AAGGTCAATGTGATTAATAATAACGTTAATGTATGCTTTCAATTTATTTCATTAAATCTTAAGCTATCGATTTATTTTTTTTTGTTATAAACTCTGAATCCATCAGAATTTCAGCATCCCCTCTTCCATAAAGATACCAACTATGTGCAATTTCTTAAGCAGTTTCAAAGATATGGATGTGTTGAAACACTTCCGTCATTTTTAGGAAAACCATGTTCACTATTAAACCTTTAATATTGAGGGGAAAACCTGACTTGTATTTGTATGAATTACAATTCGAGATGGAACTTTGAAGGCTATACACGGCTTGGATCCACATAAAAAAAGTATTTATACTGCCTGCATTTACGAAATCTGTGCCAGGTTATACATGTCATGTAACAATTGTCTAAGTATTCTATCCATGATGAAAATTTTCAAACTTTGAACGAAAGTATCTCAATAACTACCTATTTAAAATTGATAGATTCTTTTTTATTTTAATTATATGAATCAGTAGAATTAAAAATAAAAATAAAAATCCATCGATTTTTAGATAAGTAGTTATTGAGTTATTATTTGAATTAATATAAACAGAATTCTGCTATAGAACTTATTCACCATTCTAGTTAACATATTATATAGTTAAGTTTGAGTAGTTTGCATTAAAAATTTCATGATTCCTATCATGAGGTACTGTAAAATAATTTTGTTATAGAACTTACTCACTATTTTGACAGCTATAATATGTGGTTAAGATAAGCTAGTTTGTATTACTAAAAATAATTTGTTACAAACTTACTCACTATTCTAGTAATTATAATATGTAGTTAAAATATGTTAGTCAGCATTGGAATTGTCGTGATTTTATCATTAGCTACTTAAAAAATTCTATTACAAAACCTACTCGTTATTCCATAAGTTAGTTCGCATTAGGATTGGTGTAATTTATATAAATAATTCTGTTACAAAAAATATTACAGTAGCTACAATAAGTGTTTAAAATAAGTGAGTTGCATTTATTATAAATTAAAATGATATGTTTATGAGCTACTGAAAAAATTCTGCTATAGTATTTATTCACTATTCTGAATAAGATGAGTTAACTTGCATTAGAATTATCATAATTCTATAGCGTATTACTGCAAATAAATTTCTATTACAAAACTTACTTATTATTCTGGTAATTATAATATACGATTAAAATTGAGTTAGTTTGCATTGGAATGTTATACTTTTATTGAAAGTTATTGTAAATAATTCTGTTACAAACTTATTATTCTAATACCACAATATGCTAATTAAGATAACTTTGCGAAATCTTAAATTTTCTAAAGCGACAAAATGTTCTAGATTTAGTGTAAATTATGAATATATAGGTCACTAACAGGAAGTTTTCATAGCAAAGTGCTAATTTAGCTTCTTACTAGTACTATTAACAAAGTTTTGACATGGCTTTTTTGACTGAGTATAAAAAATTCCTAATTTTCATACTATCAAAAAGTCTCGTCAAAACCTCGTTACTGGTGCTAGTAAGAAGCTAAACTATAAAAATTTCCTGTTAAAGACCTATATTATTTATAAATTATGCCAAATCTAGGATATTTTGTTGCTTTTGCAAAAATTTAAGATTTCTGTGAAGAACTTTGCTAAAATCTTACATTTTTGCAAAAGTGACAAAATATCCTATATTTGGTGTAAATTATTGATAATATAGGCTCTAAGAGGAAATTTTCATAGCAAAGCGCTAATTTAGGAAATTTTAATTTCTTACTAGCACTGTAAATAATTTGCTACAAACTCATTTGCTATTCCATTGACTATAATATGTGGTTAGTTAGTTTGTATTGGAATTGAGCTAAAAATTTTATACAATACTTATTCACTATTCTGATGATCACAATATGTGGTTGAAATGAATTAATTTGCGAGTTACCATAAAAAAATTCATAACAAAACATACTCGCTATTCAGTGACGATCAAGTCTAAATTAGTCTGTACGTATTGGAATTGTTGCGGTTTCTAACATAAGTTACTATGAATTCTTCTGTTACAGAACTTGCTATTCTGGGTGACTACAATATATATGGTCAATGTAAGTTAGTTTGCTTTGTAATTAACGTGATTTCTATCATGAGCGGCTGAAAAATTCTGTTATATATAGAACTTACTCACAATTTTAATAACTATAATTTGTCATTAATGTGAGTTAGTTTACATTGAAATTCTCATAATTTCTATTGTGAGTATTTCAGTTTCAGAACTTACTCACTATTTTGGTGATTTCTATCATTAGTACTGTAAAAATTCTGTTGCAATTATTCTTTTGACACCAATGCGGTTTACTAATGCATACGTTATTAGCATTATCTATACATCAGTTGATAATATCAAACATATATAGAATGATAATGCACGAAAGTTGATTTTTAAAAAATTATAAATAGATAATTGAGTTTCGATGTTATCATGTAGAAGACTGTGAATGTCATAGTGAAGATACAACTTTGAACGACTTAATTTTCACGATAATTGTATATTTTTACTATAAAGTTTGGTATATATTTAGTAAACACAATCAAACCCTCTTAAGAATGCATTATCTAATTATGAAAACGTAGCTATAATCGGGAATGATTTGAGAATAAATCGCAATTTGCTAATTATATTATAATAAAACTAATAATGTATTTTTAGTATATACGCACGTACAGTACATAATTTCAAATAAAGTTTACATAGCGACGCATACATCTTATTATGGAATCAAAAATTGTCGAACTTAAAAAATCTTATATTAATTAAAAAATCTTATAATACAACCCGAATACGGTAAAAAATTTTGGGGCTTGCTCAGAGCTATCAAGATAATCCGCGCGCGCAGCTCATATAAGATAACAATAATATAAAATTTTTTCACGAAATCCTTTCGCTTTAGTCTAAAGGAGATGTGGCGGATCACGAGAAAGATCGTAACCAATAAATACGATGCCTAACGCAAATCATAACCTTCATTGAAAGTGATCTGCTACATGCCGACAAAGAAATTTGAAAATTAAATTAATTAATTATTGTAAAGAATCCTTAAATAGGAAAATGGATAATGGATCGCATCTCTAGTTTAGAAGTAGCTTTTATAATAAAACGAGTAATAAACTAATAATTTGAATGGTATCTACAATAATAAACGGGTAACAGCACATAATAATTTATATTTAATTAGTCTAACAGCCCGTCCAGTCTCATGCCGAGTTTGAACCGATTTTATTTTATATACAAAACCGGCTTAACCCAAAATAAAACAGGAATTCTTGTCGTTATAGTTATACGTAGATTTGACCAAGATTCTATTATGCATTTCCGTATCATAGCTTTATAAAAATAAAACTTTAATTTTATAACTTAATTTAAATAATTTTAAAATTTTTTAAATAAAAGTCCGGGCGGGCGGGTTATTTTATTTTGTTTTATGGTATATGTATTATATCTTGATTCTGACTTTCGCTTAGACCTTCCGTTCCTGGTTTTGCGCGTGACGTCGTGCAGCTATCTAGTTCACTATGTGCCGCTCTCACTAGTCATTACAATAGGACAAAACTGTATCTTGTGGATCGTGTCACAATTCTCCTTATATCAAGTGTCGATTTATATGTCTTCGTTTGATTAACAACTTTCATCATTTTCATAAATGAAGTGAGAAATATTTGTTTTGCTAGTAAATTCACCAACTAATATATTTTAAGTGCAATATATATATTTTGTATATCTATGCAATCAAATTTCTATTCAATAAACCTATAAATCATAAATGTCATGTCCGGAAAAATTTTAAATGATTTATCTAAATTGATATTATCGCTATTGTTCATTTTTGCAGCAACTTTCCTATTCCCGAAAGGATTAGCTACTCAATATCCTAATCGCCAAATTTCCTTGCATAACTTTAAGGAAGATGTTAATATTGGATTGATACCAAGAGTCTGGGAGGTTTGTATCTAATTATTGTGCACTAGGAATTTAATTTAATTTAGAGGTTAGAATCGATGAACAATTGCCAAGCATCGGTGGACAAGTTTTTTATTAGTCGTACATACACCAAACATCGATCATATAAAAATTCACAATAATCTGATTTTATTTTTAAAAGAACTTTATTTTATACATTGGGAAAAAAAAACATTAGTCGATGCTCAAAAAACTCTGATTTGAGACAAATGAAGCTTGAAATTCATTGATTACAATCCTAAGTCGTATACAATAATTGTCTATTTTATTTATTTGATTCTTGATACAGCTCTTGGGTCCATTTTCTACTGGAACACGTGAACAAGATTTTGGAGCGGATCCTTTGGAAGCTTACGGTAATTATACTTATATTTGAACTAGCTGTTTTCTAATATTGTATTTGATATATTTCATATAAATAATGTATGTATCTAATATTATTATAACAAAGGCGGCTTTAGGAATTTGAGTTTTTCAAAAACACAATCATTTCCTTCAGAGTTGGCAGATAATGGAACAGTAAAATGGTCAACTATAATGGCAAATACGGATGGTTCTGTTGGCCCTATACATTTTAAAAATTTGAGGTAATTTGCTATACTATTTTTATCATTCACCGAATGTTATTATGGTCATTGATAAAGTTTTTAATTATTAATAGGTGGAAATTTAATAGAGACCCGTTTGGCTGGGCGATGAATCAGTTTCAAATGTGGGCAAGAGGATATTTTGAGCTTTCAGATTCGGATCTTAAAGATAAATCTGAATCAATTCCGGTTTTAGTTCAATGTCAAAACATTGGTGATTTTTATGTAGATGATCAAAGGCTCTTTGGTGATTGGTATGGGTACAAGAATTCTTGGCATGTTCTTTATCTTCGCCCTGGCAAGCGTGTTATCAACGTTCGTCTGGTGAATGAAATTCGGATCTTTGGTGGAAATATTCCGCCAGACATTCAGTTCCAATGTTTTGTACGAAAATTAGAATTTAACCAAATTGGTGCGATGGTTCTAGATAACACTGCACTTGTTCCCGATTTGGTCAATGGTTTTTTGGCTGGGAGTTTTGCCAGCGTTGCGGTTTTGAACACTCAAGAAAAGTTTTGGATCACTGTTTCCAAGGTCAATGTGATTAATAATAACGTTAATGTATGCTTTCAATTTATTTCATTAAATCTTAAGCTATCGATTTATTT